ATAATAATAATAATTGCAAAAGGCAGCTTTACTTGGAAGTTTCCATTCTGCCACGATACCTTTCGCACCATCCGACAACATCTGCCTATCCCCGGTCCTTGGGAAGGACTCGATTGGTGGACAAAAATGCCAAATCCAGTCTCAACATCTGGCTGACTGTGTGACCAAAACCAGTAATATAATCCCCGGTCGTTTTGATGCTGTGAGGTTGAGGGCGGAATGCAAACAGACCGCAGTGGGCTAGCCAACATCCGCGCGAAACAAACCCCACTTTGGCGGGGTGCAAAGCCAGCGGCTGTGTTTGCAGCCCGTCGCAACCTGACATTTGCTTCCTCGTCAAACTGATATTTGCTTCCTCGTCACTAAACAGGAGCTGCCCCGGGCAGGAAGCCTCGAGGCGCCGCCCCGCCTTTGCAGAGGACCACGTGCAAGATGTACGCGGTTGCTTCCCGAGTGTGATGTGCAGATCAGCGCTTGGAGATCCAGTCTCCCACATCCCGGCTTTTTGGGGGCCATAGATGCTTCGAAAGAAAGAAATGCCAGGGTCTCTCTGCCTACCTAACCCCAAGCTTGGAGCCCACCCCCAGCCGGTCCAAGCGGGCATTTCGAACCCGTGCGTTGGCACCTGTCTGTAATGCTCTTTTGCATCGCTTGGCCAGCCTTCAACGTCGCCTCCCAGCCTCGCCCGTGATAGGAGAGATCCGCCGATCGCTCAGGATCTAAACCTTGCCAACTTTGATATTTTGCAACTCTGGGGGGCCTGATGTGGCAACCAGACAGCTGCTTTGGGGAGACGGGGAGCATCAGTGACCACAAAGCCAATAAATTAGCCTTTTCCCAATATCAGAAGAACGGCCTGACCCAACTTACTTTAAAGCGATTGAGCCCTATAAATGCAGAATAAAGAATCTGAAATTCAAATCCACCTTTAGTGGGAATAGGAGCTCCCCACGCAGCTACTTTGACGGGATCATAGAATTATCGGGTGGGAAGGAGCTTGGGGGTCCTCTAGCCCAACCCCTGGCCGGCTCATGACATCTTAGACTGTCCCAAATAAATGGCTGTCCAACCTTGGAAACCTCCAGCAATGGTGCCCCCATGTTGGAAACTAAGGAGAATAATTCCATCCCCTCTCCCTGAAAAGTAGTGTTGGGGTTCACTGGACAGTTTCTTCTCCCTTCCATCAACCCTTCAAGGTAGGACAGGTCAAGAAATGGACACTGCAGGGATTCTAGAAACACTGTTTTGTAGTTCTAGGGCAGTGTTTCTCAACCTCAGCAACTTTAAGATGCTGGCTGGGGAATTCTGGGAGTTGAAGTCCACACATCTTACAGTTGCTAAGGCTGAGAAATACTGTTCTAGACTAT